TATATATATATAATTTTATTTTTGTTTAGCTTTCTTCCCGTATCCACTTATCTATGGAGCTTTAACAGATTCCAGTTGTCAGGTGTGGGAAAAAAGTTGTGGCAAAACCGGAAACTGCTGGATTTACGACCTGGATGACTTCCGGTACAAGCTCCATGGCGTGACCATTCTGTTCCTTGCCCTGGCTGCCTTCTTCGACATCTGTGTGTGGATTCTGAGCAAGAATCTCCACAATCTTTATGTTGAAGCAGATTCTGCTGTTGTCGCCAACGAAGAGAGGGAAATGAATACTCTTGAGCATCCATCAAGTGATACAGAAATGGTTGAGAACATCTCTCGGAGTGAAACAGAATCAGATCAGGAATCATCAGTTCTGAAGAAGATAAATAATAGTAGTACAGAGAAGATGGTTCCGTAGTAAATTAAGCCCTCGTATTACAATCCGTACTGAACCATGACCTCTCTCACGATACTCTCTACTCCAAAATCATCTGTCAAGCGCTTTTGCTTTGAAATTCCATCGCTTTGAAACCATCGAATTCTCGATCTTATCCGTTATCTTTAACCATGGCATTACCCATAGTAAAATAATAAATACAAAATTACTAACAAGCGAAACAAAGTGGAAATAAATCTGAAAAATGGCTAATAATTTAAAATTTGTCGTAAATTGCTTTTTTGGAGTGGCAAAAATGGACCAATGTACATTACACATAGGAAAAAGTTAAAACCTGTTTTGCATATTTTTTTATAAGAAATAAGTGACTTTTATTTTCCTACAATTATTAGAACATAGTAATACTATTTAGCTTCCTTTACTTGCTATCTATTACGTGACATTATTATGTTCGACTGAACGACAAATTTGCATGATATTCTTGTCTAAAGTTTACAGCAAAATTATTTTAAATTGTATTGAACTTGATGGCTTACAAAGTTTAAAGCAAATATGCATTACATTTTTGCTCAACTTCTTGGCTTACAAAATTCGCAGCAAACTTGCATTCAATTGTAGCTTAACTTGATAGCTTAAAACGTTTACAGCGAATTTTCATTTTATTGTAGCTTAAGATTTATCTCTATTATAACAGGTTTCTAAACATGGTACTTTTTTATTTGATGCTACGTAGACTGAAGCCTTTTAGGCATCATCTTTCAATAAGCCACTCACACTTTATTTTTCATTTTTTACCGTAAGATCTTAATATTTCACATATTTGAATGTCCTCATTAGGATAGTATAACTATCTCAAGAGTTTAACTAGAAAAAAATATCATTTAGACAACTACCTCAAGATTTCAATATGTGAACAACCAAATCAACCGAGAAATCATCATCCATGTAAACACTCGCTTTGAAAGTGTTTTTGTTTTACAATACAAATTAAATAAAGTTTTTCCAATTATGACTGCGTTATTACATTTATATTTTAGCAGCTCTGTTTATTAAAAATAGAATGCAATTCTTTGTATTTGTCTTAATAAAACTTGCGTTTTGATCTCCTTAAATACATTTTGCTAAAGGAGAAGCATCCTCCTTATTTTCGTAGATTTTTACGACTAAATCGGGTGGGCAATTTTGTATATGATTAAGTAGGTAGACGGAAAAAAAGATCTACAAAAAAAGTTACGGGTTAAAAGGAGCCTGGTAAAAAAAGTACCACAATAGGGAAAATCTGTAGGGAAATTTCACCTCAGGCATTCTGTGGAACCTGAATGCTTCTCTCGTTGTTTTAAATAATATTCGTTTTAACGGTTAACAGTTAATAATTCTAGTTTTGCGTTATTGAGGTAAAGAGATGGAGACTTCAGTTGAATGTATTTCTTTTTTTGAGGAGAAAGAATTATTTTTAAATATTTTTGAATGGGAAATATGTTATTTATTATTTTAAATAATATTTTGTGCAGAAGGTGTTGATGTTTAAATTAACCATTGATGAAGTAGGGTAAACCAACCAGTGAAGGAACATTTCATATATATTGATTAAAAATAAGAATTTGAAAGATTTTCTTTAGATTGATTGGTAACAATAGCTTACTGCCAAACAATAGAAAGTCATCTAGCAATGTTTTGGATTACCTGGTCAAATAGACTTCCCTAAAAAATTCTTGAATTTGTTATTATCTCTGCAGCACNTTCAGGTTACTTAACAATAAATCTCATTTTTTTTTCAATTTTCAAATCTCAATTCGCCAAGTTTGTGAAAACATTACGATAAATGAAATAATTTCTATATTCAATGAATGTTTGCGTTCAAAAAAGACTAACAAAAATTTTTGCCCAGTTCCAACAATAATTTTGGGGTAACTATTTCTACTTTTTAAATTAATGTAATGGAATGAACACTTGTGGGGAATGCGTTATCGACAGTGTCAACTTTCATTTATCACAAGGTACTCCAAGATAGAACCGAGTTAATATGTCTTATAAACCAGCGAATTTGCATTTAATAATTGTAGTAGTAGACACGCTACAGTATTCCACCAGAATTTTATCTATCATAGAATTCAATGAACCGTTAATATACCCCTTAGTTTATTCATTGTTGTTTTCGTGAGAAGCTGGGAGAGCTGTGTTAATATCAACGAATTTTGAATACTGATCGTAAGAGCTGTATTAAGATGGTCTCTCTATTAGCAGTCGACTGTGGGACACGCTTCGTTGTGTGTGATCGAGACTGAAAAGCTACAGGGCGAGGAAGACAATGTCGCAAATAGCAAGTTAGCTGTTCAATGTCGACATCCATCGATGTAAGAGAGTTCTAGTCGAAGTGGGCGTAAGTGACGAGGTAAGCGTAGTCAGATCACATCCGGGTAATTTCATAATCCAATGTAATTCTGATATTTAGTAATATTATGAGATGGAAGTTGCTATATCCATTAAAGTTTCTATACAAAATAAAAATACTTTGGTGTCAATATATTTTCCTTTTTTTGTTATTTTAGGATATAAAACATTTTTTTTAAACTTTAATGAAGTATTGCATTGCTTTATATTTTCTAAATGACTCATAATAATTTTAAAGACCGAAATATTTTTTTAATTCAATATTTTTGCTTTATTTAAGGCATTTTTTGAGGCAATTTTTGCATTTTTAAGGGCATTTTTGGCCCTTTTTAAGGGCATTTTTTGCACTTTTTAAGGGCATTAGTTAAGATGTTTTAGGTCATCAAAATCCGGGCTCTAATGATAATAAACAGCATCGGATGACACAATGATTGAGATTTGACTGTCAAATTATAAGAAAGAATGATTTTTTAAAATTTATTTTGTATTTATCATCACTTTAATTTCTAGTTCATGATTACAGAATAAAGTTAGTATTTTACAAGTACTTGTATATTCTAATTTCATAAATAGTCTTGATTTTATATATTTGTATGGCCAATGAATTCATAAGGAGCATTAAAATATAACCAAAATTAAGTGTTCCTTTACTGGGCAATTTTGTGTTCCTTCACTGGGTCTTCTTACTACTTGTTATTTGAACCTCCAAAACTTTAAAACAATATTATGTAAGTTCTCTACAATTTTTTTACATAATTTGCAATTAGTAACAAATATGTTGACACTGTCATTTAACTAAAATTACGAATTTTGAAATTAATATGATTTTTTAAGAGGCAAGTGAAGCTTAAGTGTTCCTTCACTGGTTAGTTTACCCTAAAGAGGAATCTTGCTTCGGGCGTATTTTTTTCTTAATTTTTACAAGAGGGAGATTATTTAAAAAAAAATTTTTGTTATAAGAGATACGTATTTATCAACTAATTTTTTATAGAAGGGTCTGAAACGACTCAACACACCATGAAATTTTTTCTCACTTTATTAATAGTTATATTTTATCTTTAATTGAGGTGAAAAGAAAGTTAGAAAATAGACTATTAAAACAACGGGACAGCAAAAAAACAGCCATAGTGAAGCTGCAAAGAACCGCTTCAATCTCATCTTCTCATTTCAAATATTTTTCGCTACAGCGGTACCTTTTTTTTACCGAGGACCCTATTTCCGGGACCTTATGCCCATATCTTCTTTTCCTAGAACCGATTAAATATTGCAAGGAGCAGTGATGGCTAAGGGGATAGAGAGTTCGCTTTCCAATGAGGTGAACCGGGTTGGAATTCCACCGATGGCTTATCGATACGAATTCCGCATCGACCGACTTCAGTGCTGACGTGAAATATCCTCAGTGGTAGACGGATCATGGGTTAGCCATCAGGCTAACCTTGGGAGGTTCTCGTGGTTTTCTTCATATAACGCAAATGCGGTTAGTTCCATCAAAATGTCCTCCGCGGAGGCAAATATCGTCCAATACTTGATCCAGGAGTTCCCTTGTCTCCTGAATTGGGTTCAAAATTACAATGCTATGAAGATCAACATTAGTAATTGTTAACCCAAAAATTGGGTCGGCTGTTCAACGACGGTTATAAAATAAAATAAAATATTGCAAGAGTCTCGTTTTTTTCCTCGTGCATTGTAAAATTAGAAAAATAATGAAGGACATCTGAAACACGCGACTAGTGAAATAACTTTAAACGAAACAAAACTGAAATATTGATATCTAGAGAAGAGGGATATTGCTTCCGATGCATAATTTTATACGGAATGTAAGATTCGATAAGACTCGTAGCTTATTATTAGGGTTTTATGTACAAAAAGTGAAATTTTGTACATATACCTACTTACGCATCTGACATAGTTATCTAGGCGAATAATGTATTGATTCCCCTTTATTTTGTTTAAAAAAAAGTCCTTGTTATATGTAAAACTCCTCGTAACTTCTTAGCTAATTGGCATGTTCACTCGTGTTTGGTTTTATTCGATTCAGATAGCAAAGATACTACAGTTTATTTGTCTAAATAGCAAAACAATATAGTAATATGTTGGATGCATGAATGTGTGCCAATTTAGATAACCCTTATAACTTCTAAACTATTTATTCTATTGTTTATGTTTGTTCTCATTCGATTTAACGTGACAAAATACATTGGAAACTACATATTATTTGCCTAAGATAACAATTTCAAAGGATCAAAGAAGCATGCGTACATAATTCCTTTTGAACTTAAAACCTGAATTTCTTAACTATAAGCTCTTTATCTCATTCTCTATATACATATATTTAAACACGTTCTTGCTATAGCATTAGCTGATATTTAAATTGTTATTGTTTTTACGTAAACAATAATTCTCACTGTACATTTTTATTAATAGTGTTTTTTGATGTACTTTACATCGTAAATACTATTTCTACTTCTTTAGGCCTAAAGCTTTCGAAAATGGCAGAAAATACAATATATACAAAGAAATATGCAGCTTAGAAGAAAGGAAACTCATAAATACGACAACAAAAAATCAAAAAAATAAAATAAAATAAAACACGATTTAGGTAAAAAATTTAATTTATCATTTTAAAATTATTTTCATTTATAACTTAAAAGAATAAATTAATTTTTTGCAATTTTTTACATTTTGCGGCATACTATTAGTATTGTATTTACGTCGCATTAGTGCTGCACAAAGGACTATTCGCGAAGGTCTGGGAAACATATCCCTGAGGATGATCCGAAGACATGCTATCACAGTTTTTGATCCTTTTCAGAAGAAATGGCTCCCCCGCTTTAATAGTCCTACGACCAGAGCAAAATTTTACGGTAGAACAGTATATCGCACACTCTCGGTCTCTTCACAGGCTGGATTGATGTGGTCACCCTAGCACTCGATTTTCGGCAATTGATTAGGAAGCGTGTTATTAACGATCTGAGGGACCTTTTTCAAAATATGGAGGACTCGAAAAATAAAAATATTTATTTGCCATAAAACAGTCCGAAAGATTATTTGAATTAAATTTCCTTTCTTTTTATTTTCTAGCAACAGTAAAAAAAAATTTGTATCTAATAGATAGTCATTTTGTGAAGGTATATAAACTGAAAAGCAAATTTTAAAATGTTATTTTTTAAGTGATATTTTGTTAAGTGTCCAATACAAAAGGATAATATACATATTTCTATGTGAAATAAAAAATAGAAATGTCAAATTGTTTATTTGTGTCAAATATTTAAAATGTAATCAATCTGAATGCGAGGTCACCTATTGTCCATTATAGTTTTAAGGTGACTTACTCAAATTATTTGGTTGCGTGACAAACTGACACGCTATTCATGGCATACAAGGAAACATGTCATTCTGCGTGAGAGTTAATTTCCGACTCGGCAGGATATCATACAAAGAACATGTGTAAATATGAAAATACACATTCTTTTAAGCAGCAATAATAGCACAACTCATAATTCAACTTGAAGGTAATCTTCGTTTAAGCAAACTAAAGCATTTCTTATGCATTTTCCTTAGCAATGAAAACTTTAAACCAACTTTTCTCAAAACTTGATTTTTTGGGCTGTGCCGCTATTG